ACCGCCACAGGGTCTGGGGCCGGGCTGCGCCGCCACCACCGCCACAGGGTCTGGGGCTGGGCTGCGCCGCCGCCACCGCCACAGGGTCTGGGGCCGGGGCGGGCTGCACCACCTCCCCGCTGGGCCCAGTCAGGCCAGGCTGCACCACCTCCCCACGTATACATCACCATGGGGGGCAGCGGCACGGGCAGGCTGGTGGGCTGCGGCAGAGCCTTGCCCTCCGTCTCCTTCTCTCCTGGGGGCACTGCCGCCGCGGCTGCTGCCTGCCGGGGGATGTAGTGGACACCCAGCGGCGCCTCCGGGGCCCAGCGGGGAGGCACCGCTTGGATTGGAGTCCTCACCCGGGGGTGCAGGGAATGCATGGATTGTTTTTCGAAAACACAATCTTCCGCGAGTTATACGTGGGTGCGAGTTATACCCGTGTGCAGGGTATATGCATGAAAATATGGTAATTCCGTCAGCAAAAAAACCTATTAGTACAAAATGCAACACTGTTGCTGCTCTGCAGGGCCCGCACGTGCACTAGAAACTAGTCTAAGTCTTTTCCTTCCACTTTTCTCATAGTACAAGGTAATGTACTTCATACCATTCTTAACAACTTCAATGCCCTTCTCAGATTCTGGCACACAGTGGCAGGGACTTTTTTCTCATAAGCAAGAAAGTTATCTAAGGGGAAAGGAGCTAAGAGACATGTTGATTTAGAAAGTCCCTTAGCTGGCAGCAAAGCAAGGTGAAATTGGTTGCTCCAAATAGATTCATTCTAAGAGGAATTATGACTGGGATTTCCAAAGTACTTAATAGGTTGAGGAGCTGTAACAGGGGGCCTACTTGGGGCCCATCTAACCGTGGCCCGCCCACCTGTTCCTGGGCCAACCGCCCACATTCTTACCCGCCACGCCTTGTTGATACAATTAATTAATGGATGTTAATAAGCAGGAGGCTGCCCATTTTCTGCCCCGATGCCAGGGGGCGCTATCTGCAGCTCCTTTCCAGCCCTACACCACAGCCATAGCCTTTCAGATGCAGCCCAAGCCTCACAGATGGCATCTCGATGTTCCTTTAAACACCGGCTCTGACACTGGGCCCCAGAATCCTCCTATTGAACCCCATCTGGATTCCTCTCCTCAGGCGGTCTCTTCCGCCATCATACCAGGCACCATAGCTCCCTGAACTGATCCCCTTTGGGTGTGACCCCCCCCACCGGGACCTTCGGCTCTCTAGCCCTGGCCCACCTCCAGGCCAGTCCGGACCCCAGACCCTCAGCTCTTGGGCGTTCCTCACGGTGGGCCCCCAGCTCTTTGACCCTTCCGGTCCTGGCCCCAACATGGACCAGTCAGGGGAAACTCAGACAGGCCTGAGTCTATGGCCCTTTTCTCACTCTCCAAGGGTCCACTCTCTGAGCCCTCCAAAATAAGGGGTAACCCACCCGGTCGTGGGGGCTAGGGGTTAAGGCGCCCCGACCTGCCTTTCACTGGGGTGGTAACTGGCCTGGCATTTCCTGGGGGCTCCTGTACCACTGAGAGCCCCACCAGGCCACCCACTCCCGGCAGGGTGCAGTTTTAGGTCATACCCAGGACCAGGAGCCTCCTATCCATCCCCTACAGCTCCTCCCTTACCTCCAGATGATACTAGCAACTCTGCAGCCAACGATGTTGTTGCCTGGCCCCCAGCATCAGACCTGCCTTGTTTATATGGGCAGTCCTGAATCTAATGGCTGCCCTCATCAGGCACCTGCTGGCTGCCAGCTCCAGGCCCTTAAAGTGGTAGGCACAAACACTGCCCTGCCACAGGAGCCCATCTAGCTGAAGTCTGGTTGAAACAAGACAAGAGATTGCCCTCAAGACCTTCTGAACGTTCCCGACTAACATCCAGACCTATTTGCACCTTCTACATTCAGTTGTGTCATACAAAACAAGAACTGCCTTTACAGGATCTGTTAGAGCAGGTAACCATCAGGTATGAAACTCACTCAGCAGAGGCTCTAGAATAGTCATATGGCCTCATTTAAGCTCCCTATTAAGTAGTACATAAGGGCTAATTTAGGCTGTCAACACAGAGGTGGATTTCTCCCATGAAGCAAGCTCCCCTGCTTTAATATGGTACAGTGGAAATGTTCATTCAAACATTTCATTATTCAAGAGAAGTCAAGTTTTCAGTATGGGGTAAAGAAAATAGAGCCCAGAAACTCAGTCACAGGCTGAAACCTAAAAATCACATGAACAGGAACTACTACTAACAACCAGCTGAATGGACATATACAGGCTTATTATAAAAATGAGCTGCTGGTCTCAGCCTAGCCATGGAGAACAGTCCACCTTACAACTGAAGTTTTGCTAGTACAAAGAAACCAGGGACTGGCCAAGCATCCAGAATGAGCTCCTCTCACATCCTCACTGAAATTGGCTGAGGTGTACCAGCAACCGAGCACTAAAAAGACTGGGCTGCTACTGGTCACACTGTACTGGCTCTGTGCAGAGAGGATTTGATCTTGTACCACTGAAATCTGAGATTCTGCTGTAGATTTCAGTGGAATCAGGTCTAAATCAAGTCATTTTCAAAGATTTCAATGTGGCACACTGCCAAGCACTGCATTTAAAAGAGAAAACAGAAGTGCTTTCTGCAGCATCACTGAGCTGCCAGGCACAAAGGCAGATTACTTGTGCCCCAACTATCATGCTCTAAGAGCACGTTTAACTTGATGGGCTCTAATGAGTCTGAATGCTTGACAAAATACTAGCATCAGCAGCCCTGAGTCCACATATGGACATGACCTTTTAATCTTAAGCAGATAAATTTCTAATTGAAAGAGGCCATGATGCACTGCTGTAGAGTGGACATAATTTAGTTGCTTAAATTATCTAGTCTTCACAGCACATCCAAAAGTAGGAAATACTAACTGTCAGGAAGAATCAAACATCCATTTCCAGGGGGAGGAGACAGCTCTTCCGTGGGACTCAATCCAAGAAGAAGCCTTATTCAGTCTCCCTGTCCCGAGATGTCCTCCAGCAACCAGCCTTAGCGTGACTTCACAAGGGGCAAGCCTCTGGCTTTGAGACCCTGGCTCTTCTCAGTCCCTGGCCTCCCCAGTGATGTACAGGACCCAACTCAGAGAGCTCCTCCTCTTAAACAGAAAAAAAAAAAAAAACAAGCTCCCAGGAAGGACAGGGGTGCTTTCTCCTCTTAGGGAATTCGTACGTGTACTTGCACCACAGCGCTGGGAACTTTTAAAAAAGTGCCCAGTGCCGCAGTGTGTGCATTTGTATAAATGGCGAAATGCGCATCAGCACTGAGAAAATGGAGGCAGTGCACTTCTGAACTAACACACAAAGGTGTTTTAGTTCAAAAGTACACCACGGCCATCTTCTCAGTGCTGATGTGTACTTCATCATTTATACAAATGTATGCAATGAAGTGCTGGGCACATCAGCTCATTTGCAGAGCAGACACAGTTAATCGAGCCTGATCCAACGCACCAGAAATACAGCGCATCAGAGCAGACAAATGTATGTATATAAATGCCCCTAGAGAGCAGATAGAAGTACAGCTCCCCGCTGTAACTGAGAATGCTTTGCAGGAAGTGTTCCGAGTTGCAACGATCCCCCAGACCTGCTGGTTCCTGGGAGAGGGGAATGGAGCTACTGGCTAGAAGTCTAGTGCCAGTTTCCCCTGGCAGTGCCTGCCCCCCCTCCCCCCCAACCTGCACTGTTTTCAGGATTGGAGCAGGGAAAGGGAGCAGAGAGAGCTCGTTCTAAGGGTTCCCCAGCTGGTGCTGGAGGGTGGGGTGAGTGTATTGGAGCCCCCCACAACACACCTTGGGAGGGCTCCAATACACCCAACCCCACCCTCTAGCGAGGGCTGAAAAACCCCCAGATCCAACTCCCTCTACTCCCTTCCCTTCCCTTCCCCCATTCTGAAAACAGTGACAGGCTGGGAGGCAGCACAGACAGAAGTTACTGAAAATGCTATGGTTTCAAAACCTTTTCATCTCCACCCTCATGCAATGCAATGAGGTTTCAGATTTTTGCATGGGTGGGCCCTTTTAAAGTGCTTTGCAGTGTGCACTTGTTTGGTCATGGCTGTAGAGCGCTTTCTGGAGCCAGACTGGGCAAAAATTATCATTTCTGTCTGTGCCCTTAGAGTAGGCATATCAGAGTGAAGATGTTCCAAACAGCACAACAGACTCCATTCCAAAACACTCTTTATTGCGCTGTTTCAGTTTCTTCTGTCCTCACTCAAACTTTACTGTGTCCTTCCTGGAACTATTCCTTTTCTCCCTGTCTGCCCTGGGACCTTCTTTTTTTCTCTTCCCCAGCTCTCTCAGAGCCTCACTCCTTCTCCTCAAGCCCAGTCAGTCACATTTGCAATGACACAGTTCTCAAACTATAGTCTTAACGGGGAGACAACACTCACCCAGTATAATGAAATATTAAGTTATGGGGAACTGATTAAAAAGCAGCCTATGGCCTACTGTCAG